GAAATGGAGGTTGAGGGAAGTTAACAGGGAGGGGGGAAATTGGAAAGCGAATGTTTAGTAATGATGATGGATATTTGTTGCAAGAAAGAAAATCAGTAACAAATATTTATTTTTTTAAAAAAGAGGTGAGCTGAAATTTGCTCAGATGAGAACCTTGATGCAAATTTGGGGGAAGTGTGTTCAGAGGTAAAACAGGGGTGTAGGGTGGGAGGCCAGAGGGGCCAAGCTTGGATCCTAGAACAACAGGCAAGTAGGATCCTAGAATGCAACAACTGATTGGCCTGCAGGAAAAGACCAATCAGGCTCCATGAGGGAAGCAGAATCAGCCAATCAGACAGGACTCGTTGTGTAAATAATGTGTATAAAAGCCTGAGGTTTGGGGGGGAAATCAATCACTGCTTTACAAGCTTCAATAAAGAGCATGAAATCACTACAGGACTCAGAGTATATTTCAGCACAGCATTGTATGCACATTAACTATATCTTCTCTGTTCTCCATCCAGGCAAGAAAGAAGCATTATCAGAATTCAAGTTTACTAGTGGCACAGCAATGAAACTGCTAGCACATTCGCAAAGCTAAGCAGGGTCTGGTATGGTTTCAGATTGGATGGGGAGCCACGTGTTGAGACTCCTGCATTGTAGGGGGTTGGGCGATATGACCATCAGGATCCCCTCCAACTCTGATTCTATGAGGATGCATTCTGGATGGGCAAAATCACATGACAAAGCAGAGCCAGTAAGGAGTGTGGGCGTGGCCTGGGAAGAACCCCAACTGCCATGTGGGTCCTGGGCCCAAGGTCCCCCATCCCTGATGTACGGCAACCCACAAGGGTTGGACCCTCTGGTTTTGCTGGCTCCTTGGGATTGCATAAACAGGAGGAGGAACAACCATCTGACAGACCATAGTCATGTCACACATCACAAACCGTATAGGTCTAGAGAGGCTAAGGCATGTATTTCGGAGCTTCCTGGAAGGTAGAATATAAGCAGACCGATATGTACCTCTAATTATCATGCCTGCATATTGTTATGTACTGAAGTTCTCACCCTGGGCCAGCAGGGGGATACTGTAGATAGTTTTCACATCAGGTCCACGTCAGTTATTTTAGGCAGGAAACCCTGGGTTGTTGTTGCTACAATGTTGACAGCCGGCTGCCTATAAAAGCAGGCCAGCTGAGCTGTTTGCTGTTCAGTTCTGTTCCAGCTTACAAAATAAAGAGCTGCTTTGGAGAAATTGCTGTGTCGTCTGCCATGTCTACCCACTATTCAACACATATAATTTAGTTAAAAGCTTGACAACGTTCCTGAGATAATCTGTTTGTAACCCTGCGGGAGAGAATTCTCTTAGCATGGAAATGTTACCCTATGACATTTTGTAGCTCAGCGCCAGCAGTTAACCATTGCAAGAAACAGAGGAATGACTGTGGTCAAACTGGGGCCATTCTCATAAGCTCCGTGGTTTCCTTATCTACTAAATGCAGAAGGTAACTTTCTACATGTTTTCTGTCCCTTCTTTTCAACCCTGTTCAAACGAAAGCTCCGAAGAGAGAAAACCACCAAAAAGGGAACTGGAGGAGCATAATGAACACTGCTAAGAGAAAGACAAGTGGAAATAGTTGAGAGCTCAAAACTTTGAGAGAGAGAAAGAGGATACATATTCTGTGCATGAATATATCTACTATGTTCAAAGCAGCTTTAGTTCCAGGTAGTTCAAGCCTTATATGTTGATAGGTTTGCCTTTGGAGAATGTAAACAATCATCAACACGGTAGGATCCAGTGGAAAGCAAGGCAGATCTTTATTTTTCTGCTGCAACAGATTTCCCTTCCCTCCTTCCAAGGAGCGATACATATATACATCATATTTTGTCTACAACAAAAATCCTGTTTGCCAGGATACCTGATAATGGTCGCTGGTTGTATTACCTGGGCAGCCTGGCCATTCTTTTGTGATGGTTAATACTTTAGTTCCTGAATGCAGGTCACAGGCTCACCCTATTCATATGCAAATAGGCCCTTAGGACAGGATTTGTAAGTGAAAAGACAATGGGAAGGCTTTCCCCATTTGCCTCCCTTACTGCAGAGGAATATTTGAGGTCATTGGGAGACTCCAAATGGTTCTGCATATTGCTCCCCCGCCCCTTCCTTTGGCTACTTGATGGTAGAGTTGGAAGGGATGCCAAGGGTCATCTAGTCCAACCCCCGGCAATGCCAGGATCCTGCCCACAGCCAGCCCTGGCTGGGCTCCAAACTCCGATCATCTCCTCACCAGCCAGATGCACTGATCCCTTGCAATTCCTCCTGGGGTGGAGAAAGGGGAGAGAGAGAGATGTTTTGCTCTCTGTCCCTCAGGACATGGATATGAGAGCCACGCCATGCAGCCCTCTCAATATCTCAAGGGCTGTCACAGGGAGGAGGGAGGAAGCTTCTTTTCTCCTGCTCCAGAGGCCCTCAGGACCTGAAGCCGTGGATTCAAGTTACAAGAAAGGGGATTCCAACTCAACTTCAGGAGGAACTTTCTGACAGGAAGAGCTGTTTGACAGTGGGAAGAAATCCCTCAGGAGGCAGTAGACTCTCCTTCCTTGGAGGTTTTTGAGCAGAGGTTGGATGGCCACCTGCCATGGATGCTTTAGCTGAGATTCCTGCATTGCAGGGGTTGGTCTAGATGACCCTCGGGGTACCTCCCACCTCTACAATTCTATGATCCTATGATTTAAAGTGCATCCAATGAGCATTGAAATCACATGACGTCCCCCAAACGATCCTGGGCATTGCGGCTTTCCTCTCACAGAACTACAATTCCCAGGATCATTTAGGGGAAGAGACCTTCCCCCAATTTTCTAGGAACCGGGAATGGGAAGCTCAAGTGCTTCTAACAGGATGACTGGTCAGAGCAGGCTTATAAAATTTTGTTCCAAAGGGTGCCTCCCCCCTCTCTACTGAGCGATGGCAAGAGTCCATGGGGTTTCCGGCTCTCACCTGTGGGTGAACTGAGACATGGCGGAGACTGTCATACCTTTAAGAAATACAGTTTATTCACCTGTTTACACCTTCAGTTTGCATGGAGGGAGTCCAGATCTTACAGCAGAGTCCTTTCAAGAGGGACTTGTCCCCCACAACAGGGCAACCAGTCTTCCCAAGTTAGATTCCAGACTCTCCTCCTCCTCCCCTTGCTCAAAGCCTCAGTTTTCCTCACCACACACCATTATCCTGGATCCCTTTCAAATCCCCAGTTTCTGTTCACACCACAGGGCAATGAAGAAGGACTTCTTTTGCATTTCCAGTTAGGCTCTCCTTGTCCTTGAATTGTTTCTTAAAGGCCCTCACTTGGCCAGGTCCTTTTGCATAGGCTAGCTCAGGAATTCCTCTGCAGCTTGTATTTCTCCCTTCACATCCCAAATAATCCCAAATCCAACCATTTATTAATTTCTAGGGTTTAGTGGGATCCCCCCATAAACTATAACAATATTGTAACTAAGGTCATTCTATTCGGATTCCCAGGGAATGTCAAGCAGGGAGGGAGGGGGGAAGAGAGAGAGTGGAATTCTGGGGGAGAGTGACGATTGGAGGAGGCTTTGAAAGGGAGTTTGAATGTTGGTGGGGAGGCAGTTGGGAGTCAGTTGAGAGTGGTGGGTTCTGGAGGGAGGAGGTCAGTTGGGCTGGGCAGCTCTTCAGCTTAGGACCAGTATGAGAGTCACCATCGCCCTCATTTGATGGTGGCCAAAAAGGAACAGAGACACAGAGAGGGACTGTGAGTCTCCTGTGGAGACCGGGGAATGTGGCAGTCCCATGCCCAGCGAAGAGGGGCTCTGCCAGCTGCCCAGGAACAGAATAACCTCAATTTAGGAGGGCCACAGAGCCAGGGCTTGGCTTGTATTCCTAATGCCCGGGTGCCTCACACCACCCCCTCTAATTACCTGGAAAGCAGGTTTACAGACCTGGGATATGCCTGATTATCATCTTTCCAAGCAACTTAAAAATGTAATCCTGGTGGTCAACGAAAGAAGTTTAAAGACTCTCTCAAGGCAGATCTAAAAGAAATGTTATGTAAACAATTGGGAAACACTGGCGTGCGAGCGCTCCAATTAGAGAACAGCCTTTACCAACGGTGTCATGGACTTTGAAGATACTCGAACTCAGGACAAAAGGGAGAAACAAACTAGGAGGAAGGCACGCTTGGCAAACCCTCACCGTGATCAACTCCCACCTGGAAATCTATATCCCCACTGTGGAAGGACATGTGGATTCAGAATTGGCCTCCATAGTCCATTATGAACTCACTGTTAAGATCGTGTTCATGGAAGACAATCTTACTTGGCTACGTGTGATTGCCAAAGATAAAGATGAGAGAAATTGGGGAGGCTACGGCCTTTTCTATGGACATGGACTTAATGGAAATTCCTCATGGGAAGATGCCTTGCCTGTCCATGCTCCCCCAATGTCCGGTTGGTCCAACACTTCCACCATTGTGCTCCCCAAAGGGCGGCACCCATCCGGCAGGTGGAGGGCACCTTGGGGAGGGGGATAGTGTCATGGGGCAGGAATCAGCTTCACCTGCTGAACAGCAGCCTGAAGGGGGAGAAGGGGAGTGACTTCCCCTGCAGCTTCAAGGACTCAAGGACTTCCCCTGCAGCTTCATTCTCTTGAAGCGTGGCACTGTGGAGGAAGAAGGACTTGGTATCCTCCTGGCTTCTTTGAGGGAAGAATCACTGGACGTGTGAATAGGCTGTCACAGGCCATGACAGTTTTATTGATTTATTATGCTGTAAACCGCTTTGAGATTTTTATTACAAATATAAAGCAGTATAGAAATTAAAATAAATATGTGGGAAATGGATTCCCCAAGGAATTAACATACCACAATTTCCAGGGATATTTGTTTCTTATGGCACCATGGCTGTGCCCTTCCTGCCTGAGAACCTGTGAGACAGAAAGGAAAATAAAAACAGAGGAAGTAACCAACCAGTAATTCGCTACAGAAAATATCATCTGGGGACCACAGCTAAGGACCTGCCAAGCTATCAACATCTGTGGACAAGGCAAGCCAGGGAGCCAAACCGGGCCGGGAAGGAGCCATGCCCGTACGGAGAAGGGGCAGTGGGGACTCGCCGTGAGGGACGGCAGCCGGGAACCACGGGATGTCATCTGGTTCTTCATCCCGGGAGCCGGAGCTGGAGCCTCGTCCCTGGAGGCGTGGCCCTGTGGAGGAAGGGGGACATCCTATGAGAATGGGCTGTGAGGGGCCAAAAACTACTGACAGAACGTCAACTCAGACGCACTTTCACCAACCCGAGCCGTATCTGGCACATGTGGGGAATGGATTCCCCATGGAATTAACATACCACGATTTCCAGTGATATTTCTTTCTTATGGCACCATGGCAGCTGCTGTGCCCTTCCTTTCTGAGAACCTGTGATACAGAAAGGAAAATGAAAACAGAGGAAGTTACCAACCAGTAATTCACAACAGAAAATATCATCTGGGGACCACAGCTGAGGACCTGCCAAGCTATCAACATCTGTGGACAAGGCAAGCCAGGGAGCCAAACTGGGCCGGGAAGGAGCCATGCCCGTACGGAGAAGGGACAGTGGGGACACGCCGCGAGGGACGTCAGCCGGGAACCGCTGGGATGTTGTTCGGTTCTTCATTCCGGTAGCCGGAGCTGGTGCCTCGTCCCTGGAGGCGTGGCCCTGTGGAGGAAGAGGGACATCACATGAGAATGGGCTGTGAGGGGCCAAAAACTACTGACAGAACGTCAACTCAGACGCACTTTCACCAACCCGAGCCGTATCTGGCACATGTGGGGAATGGATTCCCCATGGAATTAACATACCACATCTTCCATGGCCGTCACCCCTTTGTCCATTTGGGCCCTGCGGTACAGTAGCCTCTTAGGACCTGGGAGACAGAAAGGAAAATACACATCACCACTGGCTGCCAATGATCGCTGCTCCTGCCTGGGCGCCTGACCCCTGGCTTGGAAGGAGGGGGCGAGGGGGTGGTGCAAGACCGGCCTGCAACACCCCAACCCAGCCCTGTTTCACGCAGGTCGGGGCCACAACCTTCCTGCACATGTGGGGAATGGATTCCCCATGGAATTAACATCCCACGACTTCCAGTGATTCCTGGCGCCACAACCGCTGCATTGTCCTTCCTTTCTGAGAAGCTGTGAGACAGGAAGGAAAATGAAAGCAGAGGAAGAAGTTACAGGTGGGAAATGTCCGGGAATCCCAAAGTCTAAACTCAGAAACCCTGGCTTATGTCTCGCAGGACGACTCAGGATCCAGCCTCGACCTCAACCTTTCTCTCTTCCCTCCCTGTGTCATATTAAAGATTGTAAGCCTCTCGGGGCAGGAACTTTTTTTTTACTTGCAGTTGGTAAGATGACAGGGAAAAACTTCCCCTGCCACAGAAGGTCACAGCATACCTCCGAATTTCACTGGGTTTCCCAGCACCGCTGGGCTGCTGGAGGTTTTCCCAATCCACAGCCCTGCGAAGGAAGAAGGACATTGTACTCTCTAGTGGACAGTGGTCCCATGGGCCATCCCCAATGATTTCCTTCTGGGGCACATTGCCCTCAATATTCCCCCCCCCCAGGCTGCCTTCCCAGCTCCCTCCTCCCTCCCTCACTCTTCCACATCCCTCCTCCTCCTGTTTGGCACAGAGGAGCCCGGCAGCAGCCCATGGGCAGGCAAGCCAGTGGAGGCAGGGCCTTCCTGCAGTGGAGACATAGGGCCCCCGGGGGGAGCAGCCCCCAAACTACTGTAGGGACAGCCTGAGTGCAGGCGAGGTGAACCAGGGAAGGAGGGGGACAGAACAAGCACCCCTGCCATGCTGCCCATGCCCACGTCACCACTGGCTGCCAACCATCGCTGCTCCTGCCTGGGCACATAATGGCCAGACCCCTGGCTTGGAAGGAGGGGGGTGAGGGGATGGAGCGAGACAGGCCTGCTCCCCCCCCCCACTCCAGCACTCAATTGGCATTTCCCCCTACCTGAACTCTGAGCCTTTCCACACTTTGCCTCCCTGCGGGGGTCTTTGTCCTTCCCCCTGTCCCATTAGCTCTGGGGTGAGAGGCCTTTGTCTGGGCTCCAGTCCCTCCCGTGATGCAGCGGCTCCCAGGCTGAACCTTCTCCTCGCTGCAAAACAAACGGAGACACCAGCAGGCACCTGGCTCCCAGCCACTCTAGCCCCAGTATGGGGCAGGAGGGGGGGACCTGGGAAGGGGGCATTTCTTCCTACCTGATCTTATTAGCTGCCCCAACCTGAACTCCTCCGTACGGGTGTCTGGGCTCCGTCCCGGCCAGCTTGGCACAGAGGCAGCAACCCAAGTCTCCCCCCGGCTCCGGAATAACTCTGGAGGTGTTCTTGATGGGGTGAAACCTTGGCTCCTCTTTCTGCGCCAAGTAGGGCCGGGAAGGAGCCATGCCCGCACGGGGAACAGATGGAGGGTGAGGCAGGCGAGGGTCAGGGGCCGGGAACCACCATGATGGTCTCTCGTTAATAATCCTGGCGCTGGAGCCTCATCCCTGGAGGTGTGGCCCTGTGGAGGAAGCAGGACATCATGTGAGAATGGGCCTCTGATGGGCCAAAAACTATGGAAGGACCCCTTTGTTCCCTCTGCCCCAGTACCTGAGGGTCGTCACATCTCTCCAAGGATTTGACCAGAAGAAAGTATATGTTGGGGAAAGGCTCCCTCCCTGCAAAGAAAACGGAGACATCAGCAGGTGCCTGGCTCCCAGGCACGCTAGCCCAGTCTGGGGCAGGAGGGGGGGGACCTGGGAAAGGGGCATTTCCTCCTACCTGATCTTATTAGCTGCCCCAACCTGTCCTCCTCCCTACGGGCGTCTGGGCTCCATCCCAATCGGCCTAGCACAGAAGCAGAAACCAAAGTCTCCTCCCTCTCTGAAATAACTTGAGAGGCTGTTTTAATGGGAGGAAACTTTGGGTGTTGCTTCTGCACCAAGTAGGGCCAGGAAGGAGCCATGCCCACACGGAGAAGGGGCAGTGGGGAAGAGGTGCGAGGGACATCAGCCGGGAATCGCAGGGATGTTGTTCGGTTCTTCATCCCGGGTGCCGGATCTGGAGCCTCATCCCTGGAGCCTGGCCTTGTGGAAGAAGCAGGATACAGTATGGGCTCTCATGTGAATGGGCTCTCACTTTCCGCTGAGTCCCCAGTTATCATGTTGCCACACCATGCTGCTGGGCAAACTCACAGAGCATGAAATTGCTGGTGGCTCCTGACTTTTTAATGTTCACAGTTGTACTCTGTGTCCATCTGGGAACTGTAGCGTCACACGCGAGCTGAGACCAGGAATAGCCAGTGGTGGTAGAGGCGCAGTGTTGTCCCAGAGGATACATATGGGAAATGCCAGGGAACCCAGAAGTTTGAACTGACAGATCCTGGCTTCTGTCTTTCAGCAGGACTCAGGGACCACCCTGGACCCTCAGCCTTTCGCTGTTGCCTCCTTGCCTCAGATTAAAGAGCTTAAGGAGCCTCTTTTCAAAGGGTCACGCGCAGTGATGGTGCAAAGAAATAATACAAAATAAATCTCACTACGCTCCTGCCCTGTGCATGCTAAAGCCTGCTAGAGACGTTTCCCTTGAAACCATAGGCTGTGTACCCACCATACCTTTGGGGCTCATCCCCACTTCCCCTTGGGTCGTGTGCCCAGCAATCTCAGGTGTGTTAACAGATTTGCTCTTTGCTAGACGGGCCAGCCTGGTTTGCAAAAGTCAGCCCAGGAATTCCTTGTCTGGCACAGTTGTGCAGCCTGTACTTTCATTCATATCCCAATTAATCAAAATTCTACCTTTTGTGTATTTCTGGGGTTTGGGGGGGGGGTCTCCGACAAATGTATAACACTATTTTGCCTGCACAGTTTTTAATGACACTATTGATGTGAACCGATGCATGATTTATAAAGTAAATAAAGCTTATTTTTAAAGTTCCCATGTTGATGCCTGGTTCTTTCTTAAGTGGGGCAAAGGGAAGGAAGGCAGCTAGCTTCATGGCTGGACGTGCTCAAAAGAAGGTTTTGCAGCCAGATTCCTATCCTTTTAAGTTTCCTGTCAACGGTGGAATTTTAAAACTCTCTTTTTAAAGAACCAGGTGGCAACCCTACTTCAGGTATACAGGACACACACTGTGAATTGTGCTCACAAATGTACCGGGAGCCACTGTAGATCCTTTAAGACCAGTGTTCTGTGGTCCCGGCGGCTGCTCCCAGTCCCCAGTCTAGCTGTCGCTACATCTGCTGGCTCCTCTCAGATACACCTGAGCCAATCTGATCTGAGGGGAATCCCTTCCTATCCTCCAATATATGGTCTTCTGTTAGAGCTTGAGCAGGACCAAACCCCATTTCCCAGGCGTCCCCCTTGAAGGCAAGGCACAATCCTGAGACCCTCAGCACCCAATGGTTCTCCATTTCCAAGGCACGGGGTCCCTCCCCAACTCAAGAACGGGGCATCTGAGCTCCTCCTTCCTTCCTGGTTCCTCCTCATGATGGAGTTCCTAGGACTCCACAGATCTCTGCTAATGGGAGCTGTTCCCAGAGCCCCTAACAAACTACAGTTCCCAGGATCTTTGGGGGGAAGACATCTGCTTTTTAGAACAGGCGCTTCAGGTTACAGACTCCACTAACCCAGAAAAAGTACCTCGGGTTAAGAATTTTGCTTCAGGATGAGAACAGAAATCGCACAGTGGCAGTGGGAGGCCCCATTAGCTAAAGTGGTACCTCAGGTTATGAACAGTTTCAGGTTAAGAATGGACCTCCAGAACAAATTAAGTCCTTAACCCAAGGTACCACTGTACTACTACTACTACTACTACTACTAGTAGTAGTAGTAGTAGTTATTTGTACCCCGCCCATCTTCCTGGGTTGCCCCCGCCACTCTGAGGTAGATGGAGCAATCTAAGGTCTAAATCCCCTTCCTGTGTTTCTGTTTGGGAGGGGCTGTGGCTCAGTGGCAGAGCATCTTCTGGGCACCCAGAAGGGCCTTGATTCAACTCCCTGCTTGGCTTCAGGTGTGGGGATGAGAAGGGCCAGCTTGCAGGTTCGATCCCCTTCTGGCACAGCTGCATCTTCCTGCATTGCAGGGAGTTGGACTAGATGATCCTCAAGGTCCCTTCCAACTCCACAATTCTTTGATTCTAAGGATGCAAGAAGCATTGGCACTCCCACTGTGCTAACCCAACACAGGCACACAGAGAGACAGATTGAAGCTCGGCCATGGAGGGTTCAGTCACCAGAGGTGAATATGCAGGAAAGCGCCTGGCCCTTTGCCTGGCAGAAGACCTCACCCACTGGGCTGCATAGACAGCTGCCTCAGGAGCCAGATCCCAGGTACCGGGAGCTCCAGACTGCCTTCCTCTGGCCTGGCTGGCAGCAGCTCACCTGGGGATCAGAGTTTCCCAAGCCTCACCTGGAGATGCTGAGGACTGACCCTGTGGCCTTCCACAGGCGCTGAGCTATGGCCTAAAAAGGCCCCTGGGTGGGTCAATCCTTGGTCTATCTAGGCCAGGCTGGGAGCAACTGCTACCTGCCACCCTTTAGAGAACCTGACGCCCAGCGTAAACTAATAACGCAGAGTCTTCTTCAGTAAAAGAATCAAAACTTTACTGAGTTAAAAATAAACTTATTTGCAAATAACAGCATAGTGAACAGAAGATTGAACTAGCTCCAGAGCATACACAGAGTTACTGAGTCACACAGAGGCATTATGCACCAACAGCCTCCATTGAGCACAGGCTTCCCAGAGCTCAGGCTCCATCGCACACTCTGAGTCTGCCTGCAAGCAGATACTGTACTTATACAGAGAAGGAGTCATCCTCAAGATGAGTCACAGTGATTCAGCATGCTAAACGATTCTGCAGCTTTTCAGCACTTCACAACACTTCTAGACTCCTTTACGGCTTCTGCTCTCAAATACCTTTGTCACACGACAGAACCATTGACAGGCAGTTGACAGCTTGGATGAGCAGCCCAAGGCCCACAACCTAATTCTCTGCGTCGGGAATCGGCAAAACGATTTCGTAGGATTGATCCCAAATGCATAAGACTTTGTCAATCATCAACCCCATACGTTGATATCAGAAGAGCAACACAGTGAGCTTGGTTCTGCTCAGGGCCGTCTTAAGTATATCCGGCGCCATGGTGCAAAGATCCCTCCGGTGCCCTTTTTAGGGCACTGCTTCAGCGAGGCGGGGGAGGGCAACTGATGCCTGGAGGTGCCACATCCAGCCTCCGCCTCTTCCCTGGCGCCCTCCAGAACTTGGCGCCCTGGCGCCCGCGCCACTTGCCTCTATGGGCAAGATGCCCCTGGTTTTGCTTACTCTTAATGGGGAGAGTTCTTGGTGTTTAGCACAACTGTGGGGCTGTGAAAATTTCACTCTGTGTGTTTCGTTCCCTTTTTGTTAGTTATTCCCATTCCAGAAGAAGAAGAATAATAGAATCATAGAATAGAATCATAGAGTTGGAAGAGACCACAAGGGCCATCGAGTCCAAGATGCCATCAAGCAGGGAGGGAGGGGGTAAGAAGAGAGTGTGGAATTCTGGGGGAGAGTGACGATTGGAGGAGGCTTTGAAAGGGAGTTTGAATGTTGGTGGGGAGGCAGTTGGGAGTCAGTTGAGAGTGGTGGGTTCTGGAGGGAGGAGGTCAGCTGGGGTGGGCAGCTCTTCAGCTTAGGATCAGTATGGGAGTCGTTTGATGGTGGCCAAAAGGAACAGAGACACAGAGAGGGACTGTGAGTCTCCTGTGGAGACCGGGGAATGTGGCAGTCCCATGCCCAGCGAAGAGGGGCTCTGCCAGCTGCCCAGGAACAGAATAACCTCAATTTAGGAGGGCCACAGAGCCAGGGCTTGGCTTGTATTCCTAATGCCCGGGTGCCTCACACCACCCCCTCTAATTACCTGGAAAGCAGGTTTACAGACCTGGGATATTGCCTGATTATCATCTTTCCAAGCAACTTAAAAATGTAATCCTGGTGGTCAACGAAAGAAGTTTAAAGACTCTCTCAAGGCAGATCTAAAAGAAATGTTATGTAAACAATTGGGAAACACTGGCGTGCGAGCGCTCCAATTAGAGAACAGCCTTTACCAACGGTGTCATGGACTTTGAAGATACTCGAACTCAGGACAAAAGGGAGAAACAAACCAGGAGGAAGGCACGCTTGGCAAACCCTCACCGTGATCAACTCCCACCTGGAAATCTATATCCCCACTGTGGAAGGACATGTGGATTCAGAATTGGCCTCCATAGTCCATTATGAACTCACTGTTAAGATCGTGTTCATGGAAGACAATC